TTTTTAATTTTTCACCAGTTTAAAAAAGGAGGAGATTATCTATTCAACATATACACTGAGAAAAGCAATGCGTTGTAAAAATAAAATTTTTTTATTTGATTACCGCTTAAAAATGTTTGGATTTAAATCAAGTGAAAAGTAATAAGAAAATGGATCTTTCCATTATACATCCACTACGTATAATGGCAATATTCAGATCAAATACGTCCGTATTAAAATGAAGCATTTTTCACTGCACGGATGGCGTTTTAAACGTCTAGGATGCTTTTTCATATGTAATTAAGAAAGTACAAGCGGGCCCATGCGAAGACTGCGCAGACAGAAATATACAGTAAACTCATCCCTCTTTGTAGCCATAATATAAATATTAACGATTAGCATTTTCAAAACGTGATCCATATATTTCGTCAGTACATTTTGTACTCTCATAATGCGAACATCAAAAACATACTCGCTCTCGGCGCTTAAAACCTTTCAAAACAAATTGAAAGTATTTAAATTAGCATTGGAATATTTAAAATAATTACGGAATGCATTATCTGTAAATTATTCGTATATAATAAAAATATTTTCTTGCGATATAATAAGCATGCAGCACAAAAATTATGCAAATACTGACGCGATAAATATTGAACGTGTAGCATTCATGCGGATCCATCAATCCATCATTATGGATCGAGACCCAGATATCGTGATAATTACTGACCGTGTGACAGGGCGCATTGAGTAATCGGCCCTAAAGATGTTAATTAGTATAACACCCTCGCGCGCGTCCCGGCGCCAGGTGTCTCGGTACAGAAAGAGCTGTCTCTGCACTAACGTTCCATCACTAAAAATCAACCCATTCTGGAAATCTTAGCGTAATCCTTGTTTAATTATCTATAACAACCGTGATTCGAAAAAATGGGGGCTTTTCAAGAACTAAATATTTTTAAAATATATTTTTGTCATGATATTTGACAGATCATATATCCGAAGACAAAAGATTTTGGTAGGCTTGGGACAATGAGTAATAGTTATTTGCGAAAATACTAGTGAACCCGCATGGCGTTAAAACGCCCAAAATTGAATTTCAAAAAATTACAAAAATATTCCAAGTTATGCTTAAGTTAATTAAAAAAATAAACCTTTATCATATGTTTACAGGCTAACAGGCTAACCTAATATTCGCGGCTTGCGTTTTGGTACGCATGCCGTCGAATTTGTTTTTTTGCGTCACCCGAAATTGACTTGCATGCGTTTGCATTTGATTTCATTGAGCGAAATGTCAAATCAAAATGTCACGCAGAACAAAAATTGGAAATTGAGTTAGCTTCATACGCACGCCGTTCAATTTCGGTTGATCTCATACAAGTTGCATGTGTATGAGAAATTTTTGACAATAAATTGGCGGCGTGCGTGAATATTAGGTTAGCCTGTAAGGTCTCTAATTTGACCTCTCATATTTGAAATTCCTTTTCAAAAGTATTCTCAAACTAAAATTTTCTTAAATCTCTTTCGTCTGACATTGTGATGCACATGTATTTCACTAAACTGCTGGACTAATTCGAATTTGATTGTTCAGAAATAAGTCCCCTTTAAACCCATTTCGATTTAAACCCATCTTTTAATAATTCAACCCAACTTACTGAATAATTTGAAAGTAACTTTTTAAACACGTAGCAACTCTCTTCAAACAATCGAAATATTCAAACTAAAGATTTTCATATTTTATAAAATTTTTGAATTTGTTAATTGAGTTAGAACTTTCAAACAGAAGGCAGCCCTCTTCGAATATATTTTCAAGCTTAATCCTTGTTAATTCTCTTTCGCCGCACACTGCTATTTTGTATATTTTAATTAATTGATGACTTAAGTGGATTTTTAAGCTACTAGCTACTAGCAACACAACGTAGTAGGCCACACCACAACTACGACAGACCACACAACAGACACAACCGCACCACCACCTACATGCTGCCTCAGGCAACTCCTGCTCCCTCCTACAATCTGCACGGTGTGTCAGACCAGGATATTCCGTAATGTGACAGCAGCACACCTGCCTTGGCTGGTGCCACTTTAGGGCATGTTCTGGTCTGCGCACCACGCGAGATTGGACGAGGAACTTCGAGGGTCCGCGTTGCACCGCTCGGTCGCAAACCCCAATTGCGACGCCAACTGCAAGATCGAGGAGATACCCGTCTTCATGGGAAGGCATGGAATATTAATAGCTGCGGTCCAGGAAACGAAGTTGCACAACAATTCAACATTGTTGAATTGCGCTGGATACAATGAGAGATCGTGAGCGAGATAATGGTGGTGGCTTAGCGCTCATCACGTATCACACCGTGCAGTATCTTCTTATCGAAGCAGATATCGACCGCAGGGATACCATCCTAGAATGTCAGGGCATTGGTATCCGGTCAGACGATGTCGAGCTCGAAATATTTAACGTTTATGTACCCCCTGTCACTAGCTGCCCGGCAGGATATCACCCTGTAGTAGGTGCGGTCCTCAGAGGTGGAAACCGACATATACTGACCCTGGCATCAGACCATCTGCCCATTGTCAGTCATCTCGATCGATAAACCTGCCGACTTTGCTTCCGATGAACACTGAATGTATATCAACTTTACCAAAGCTGATTGGAAAGGCTTTGCGGAATTTACTAAAAGCACCTTCGCTGCCCTCCCCACACCAACCAACGTTCACCTAGGCGAAGGTAAGTTCCGCAGGGTTGTCACTGCTGCTGCAGCTCGCTTAGCACCAGCGGGTTGTATTATGGACCCCCGGCCAAACTTCCCTGCTGAAACGGCTGTTCTAGCCGATGAGCATGACAACCTTCGTCAGGCCGATCCCTTAAATCACCGTATCAGGTATCTCAATATGGATATTCGGCAGCTTGTGAACGTACATAAGCGGAAGAAGTGGTAAACCGTGAGGTCACTGTCCAATCCCACAACGCCCGACGACAGAATCGAAGCATCTTTCGGCGACCGCGCCTCGTCGGACCCGGAGAGATGGGCGAGCTATTTTAGCCGACACTTTATACTGCATCCTCCGGCGGATAAATTCAAGCGTCGAGAATGCAGCACAAACTGCCAACAACAAGTGCGCCTCTTGTTTTCACCAGCGGTGAAGTTCCAGTAGCCATCGGGATGGCCAAGGCCTTCAAAGCCATGTGACCCGACGGAATATGCATATTGACGCTGAAAAATTTGTCTCCTGCGGGAGTAGCATGCCTAACGGAGGTCCTCAACCTGTCAATGGCCACTCTCGTAATTTCAGACATCTGAAAGCTCTGAAGAGTGGTCCCACTGCTCAAACCGGGGAAACCAGCCAACAAAGGAGTCTTATATTTCGATAATACTCCTTTCCCCGGACATTAGAGGTCTTGCTACTCCCGTATTTTACGAACCACCTAACCCCAAGCGAAGCATCAGCATGGTTTCCGTAAAGTGCGTAGCACAACAACAGCACTTAACGCCATAAACACGCAGATAACACGAGGCCTAAACCGTAGCCGCCCCTGTGAGAGAACTATTCTAGTTGCGTTGGATCTATCAAAGGCGTTTGACACCGTCTGTTACTCCATGCTGCTAGAAGACATTGAGACTTCTTCTCTCCCATAGATGTTAATAGTAATGTTTAGGGACAAATCGAGCAAACCTAGAAAAATAAAACAGGGATTTCAAGAATAACCCCAAAATACTCGGGATAACCTTCGATTGTCTGCTCTCCTTCTCTGCAAACGCAACCGCAATTTTCAACAAATGTACAGAGCCGCAACAAGGTCCTCAAGTCGCTAGCCGGCAGTACTTGGGGATAAGAAAAAGAAACGTTGCTGGCAATTGGCCGGCCGGTTCTAAATTGCGTAGCGCCAGTGTGTTCGCCGGGGACTAGCAGGATGCAGTGGATGAAACTGCAGACGACACAAAACACAGCACTTTGGACAGTGACTGGATGTCTTCTGATGTCGCCAGAACACCATCTGCATGACGAGGCGCAAGGGCCACAACACAAGGCTCTGCAATCAATATTTAGAAGGCATCCAATTACGTAAACACCCAAATAGACACTTGCTTGCAGAGGAGCCCACGCCAAAGGATGTCAGAAATCATCCATATGAATTGAAAATTCTAGAGGTTCATAAAGCAACCTCTGGACCCGTCAGTACATCGACAGGACCTGAGAGGCCTTCACAGGGAATCAGTCTCAAGTTACTTAGACTCTACGCCTGTGAATGCCGTTATAGGCCCTCTACCACCTGACATAGACGAGACGGAGCATCGTCTGCATCGGGAGACGCGAACCACAATAGCCCAACTTCGCTCCGGCTACTGTAGCAGGCTAAACTCGTACCTGAGCAGATTAGATGCAGGTGTGCCAAATGAGTGTCTGGAATGCGGAGACGTCTCACGACTCGAAACATCTCTTCGTATGCGCGGAAACCCCGACGCAACTGACGCCTCTGTCTCTATGGACAGTCCCTATAGAGGCTGCACGCTTCTTGGGTCTTGCCTTAGTTCAACCTGACGACAACGACTGAGATACTACCCGAGCTGGGCGGGGTTGTTGTAGTGGCTACAACAACAACAAGATACTTGAAAATGTCGCTTGCCTTCTGTTTTTTTCTTTCGAAAGCGAGATAGAATTTTGTTGACTGGGCATTTGACAGCAAACTTTTTCATTTGTAAAATGTCGCAAAAAAAAAAAGCTTCGAACTTTTCAGGCCAAATTTTTATTTTCCACCAAAATAAGCAATGTTTCTACTCTGAAGAATTGAAATTAATAAATACCAATCAAACAACAAAAATAATAGTTGAAAGCATGCGAGATCTAGCTAACCGCTGGGTATGCGTCGTCATGCAAGCGAGATTTTCCAGCACGTTGTTTTTGTTGTAGTGTGTGAAGACGGTCGGTTACCTAATTTTACTACCATTTATAGAAGTCAAAATCTAACGACAATTTCCGATTTTTTGCGAAAATCTTTTACGTTTATCGGCGATAACTGAAAATTCTCTGTGTATAGTTATCATCTGAATGCAACCCTGTGGTTGTTTTGAATTTTGCGCTATTTTGATCAAAATGCTATTAATTCTGCCAAAGCGTCATAAATAGATTAAAATAGTGATAATCATGCGTGTTGTAAATTCGTGCGTTTTAGAATTGCGTGAGGTGAGTTAAATGCAGATAATTTGGATTGAAATAAGAAACGCTTTCTTAGTATAAAGGCAGAAGAATCGTATGTCAACTGAAGCTAGACGGCTCCACTGTTGATAAAGCAGACATCGAAGAGCCACAAGACTTTCACTGGTGGGAGAAACAACATTGGGAAAACTTTGACGCACAGTTGGAGCAGTTAATTGATAATATATCGGACAAGACCCGGATCCGCAACAAAACTGTAGAAAAGACCTTCCAACTTCATGATGAAGTGGACGTGCAAGTTAGAAATTCTGCAGCATCCTTGAAAACACTACTAGACTGCTTAGGTCATGTAACGCTGGAACGGCACGACAACACATTAGCTTTAGACTTCTTAGTTCGACGTAGAAGAAAAAGAAAAACGGATTTAAAGTATGCTGATGTGAGTAATTAAATATGTGTGACTAAATATTATATGTCTGTAATAAGAGTTTTAGATTTTAGGACTTGAAGAATTTCCTTGTTGTACCGGAGAATCGGAATATCATCCGCTGCCTGTATCGGATATTTCAGCCTCCCCAGAAGCATCTTGTTTGTCTTATGTTCCAACAAAAATTGGGAGTAAAAACTTTCATTTGTGTCACACGACTGAATCAAACGTCTATGATGTTGATGACGAGGACCGATATTCACCAGAACCACCAAAAGAGTGCTCTTTGCTAGTATTTACACCTAAGCCTATAGACAAGGAAATAGACATATTTGCTAATTCCAGCGAAGATGATGACGGAACTTTTAGTGCTAAAAAAATAGCAAATTCGACGTTATCAAGTGACGCGAAAAATGAAAAAAAATCTAAATTCCCGCAGTCAAAAGAAGAACTGGACAGCAGCCCAGACTTACTTTTACTTCAAAGTCAGGATGCCGTAAATCACATGAAAAAAGGCGGTAAAAATATTGGAAAAGGCCAACAAAGTCACAAGTATGATAATATTAAAAATGCACATGCACAGAGAAGGCATGAAAAGCCTAGTAAGTGTCGTCTATTTAAGGCGCAGGACGAAAGCCAAGGGGAAATGTTTTATGAAAAGGAAGTTTTTAAAATAAAAGAATCACAAGATGATGACATTGATTTGGAAAAATACGTAAAACCAAGTAAAGATATAACTGTGAAAAATCTTGATGAAAAAGGCAAGCAAAACAGTCCGCGAAACGAGTCCAAACATGATGCAAATAAAAACGCCATGCGACGTTCCAATCGTTCACCCATAAAACCTTCGCGTTATAAAGTTGAAGAAGTTCGAAACCTAAAATCGACGAATAAAAAAAGATCCAAAGCAGTCAGTAAAACAATGCAGGAATGTTTTGGATCTGACGCCGAAAGCGATGATTTCACCGAGAAAACACCTATTAAAGCTGCACCTAAAGTACACCTGGGATCAGCGCATTTAGCATCGTCTGTGAAAAAAAGGAAGCGAGAAGAGAAAAATGAAAGATCGTGCGAACAGGAAAAGCAATCTATGAGTAAATGGTTGTCTAAAAAGAAACCCGAAGAACTGGTCAAATCCCCAAAGAAAACATCAAAATCGACGAAATCTCGAGTTAAGGAGACTAAAACGAGTAAGGCAGATAGTTCTGGTGGCATAATAAGCCGTATTGTTTATCCAACACCCGAAGAGATCGCGAACAATGAGCGTAGAGAGAAGGAGCAGATGAAAGTAAACAGGAAAATGAAAATATTGTTAGAAGATCTGATACAAGTGCCGAAGAAGGTCGAAATTTTGTGAGTACGAACGCGCTCGACGTTTCATCCAATGATTTGAAAATATAAATCTTTGTGTTATTGCAGGTCACTGAACTCTATGTCGGCTGATGAAATTTTGAGCACTTTTCCAAAATACAAAGAACACCTTGACAATATTTTCCATAAGTTACGATCCAAGCCGAAAGTGACTGGCTACAATGGAATTAACCATTACTCTGTTATCGAACTGATAGATAATGAAAAACAGCTAAAAATCATGAATAAACTCGGCGAAATTTACGAAAATGAGTCCGAAGGCACGTCCATAGTAAGCATAAATTAAAGTTCTAGTTTTGAATATTTCCAAAATCTTGATTTTTTTATAGTACTCTACACTCTTCGCCAACGCTTTGATGCCCGAGTGGCTGGTTAATATTTTCAAGGATAAGTACAAATTTTCTCACAGCGAGGCAGTGTTGCGGTTACAAGATCAACAACAGTACATGCAGTATATGGATGTAGAAGACCATCACTAAGGAATATGCTGGCACATATACTTCATTTACTAAACAACTTAAGTTAAAAGAAAGTCAAATATTTAATTGTATGACCCAACCATTAAACTAAAGCCATCGCCGTTAAATTCAATTTGCGGCTACTGTGAAAGATTTTGCCTTTTTGTTAATAAAAAGCTGAAAATTTACAGTGTTAAAAAATTAAATGTTTTATTTAATTCATATTTTGTTCTGTTCTTCAATGAATACAAATAGAAAGTATTTTCATTATTTATTCTAACTTATTTTGACCTAATATGCCGCACCTGCACGAAATNAATTGTATGACCCAACCATTAAACTAAAGCCATCGCCGTTAAATTCAATTTGCGGCTACTGTGAAAGATTTTGCCTTTTTGTTAATAAAAAGCTGAAAATTTACAGTGTTAAAAAATTAAATGTTTTATTTAATTCATATTTTGTTTTGTTCTTCAATTAATACAAAGAGAAAGTATTTTCATTATTTATTCTAACTTATTTTGACCTAATATGCCGCACCTGCACGAAATGTTTGCTAATCCGTCCTCCGTTTAATTCTCTGAAGAGAAAAACTAACTAAAACGACGGAGATAATACAAAAACTTGAAATATGTGCGTTACGCTTTTTTAAGATCACAAAAATAAATACCATTTACAAATATAAAGTACAAAAATTACGTGAAGGTATGTATTTCGACTGCACGCGGATGCGTGAAGCCGACGAAGTGCGGTCAAACTAAACAGAAATCAGTCTGCCATTCTTAGTAAATATGTTTTATCCAAAGACTAAAACTAAATTTCCTTAACTTAGAGCTCATCATGCACCTCATCGTCGTCATCATANAATAAATATCATTTACAAATATAAAGTACAAAAATTACGTGAAGGTATGTATTTCGACTGCACGCGGATGCGTGAAGCCGACGAAGTGCGGTCAAACTAAACAGAAATCAGTCTGCCATTCTTAGTAAATATGTTTTATCCAAAGACTAAAACTAAATTTCCTTAACTTAGAGCTCATCATGCACCTCATCGTCGTCATCAGATGCGTTACCGGCCTTTTCAGNGTGAAAGATTTTGCCTTTTTGTTAATAAAAAGCTGAAAATTTACAGTGTTAAAAAATTAAATGTTTTATTTAATTCATATTTTGTTTTGTTCTTCAATTAATACAAAGAGAAAGTATTTTCATTATTTATTCTAACTTATTTTGACCTAATATGCCGCACCTGCACGAAATGTTTGCTAATCCGTCCTCCGTTTAATTCTCTGAAGAGAAAAACTAACTAAAACGACGGAGATAATACAAAAACTTGAAATATGTGCGTTACGCTTTTTTAAGATCACAATAATAAATATCATTTACAAATATAAAGTACAAAAATTACGTGAAGGTATGTATTTCGACTGCACGCGGATGCGTGAAGCCGACGAAGTGCGGTCAAACTAAACAGAAATCAGTCTGCCATTCTTAGTAAATATGTTTTATCCAAAGACTAAAACTAAATTTCCTTAACTTAGAGCTCATCATGCACCTCATCGTCGTCATCATATGCGTTACCGGCCTTCTCATTTGAATCATCATCATCTTCGCTACCAGCGTCAAACGATGAATCTTCATCATCATCTACCTCAACTTGTTCGTCAAGGGACACACCAAGAGTTTGACGCATCATTTTTTCAATTGTGTCCGCAAAATCAGCAGTCTCTTGAAGCATGAAACCCGAACGCAACGTGGCCGTACGGAACATCATCACAGCCATATCCTTAGCAGTATCATCGGCTTCGTCTGCCTCGACGCGACGCAAAAGTTCTCGAATAAGCGGATGGCGTGGATTGATTTCCAAAGTTTTCTTCTGATTTAAGTAGTAGCTACGTTGGGGATCATCTGACTTTTGATGTGCATTTGACAATGCCAAACGTTCCATGTTGCCAGTCCAGCCGAACATACCAGCCACTAAGGCACAAGGTGAATTGCTCAAACGTTCAGACACTTGAGCTTTCAGAATTTTATCCTTAAGCGCCACGTCATTCAACCATTTTACAAGAGGTTCGAATGTAGTTTTCAATTCTTCGAATTTTGATTTGCTCTTCTCTGATTCGTTTAGTTGGAAGCCCTCCTTGGCAACATTCTGGAATTTCTTGCCATCAAATTCTGGGAGTGCCGAAATGCAGTACTCGTCCACAGCTTCGACGAGATACAGAACTTCATAACCTTTACTTAGCAGGCGTTCAACGAAAGGTGATTTTTCTACTTCAGCACGGTTAGCACCAGCTATAAAGTAGATGTGTTCCTGCTTTGGCTTCATACGCTCAACATATTCAGCCAAGGATGTGACATCTTTACCATTGGACGATTGGAAGCGCAATAATTTTGCGAGACGAGAACGATTGCTTGGATCTTCCATGATTCCGAGCTTGATGCTAGAAAGTAAAAAAAGCACCAAAATTAGAAGTTACTAGTTCCAGAATATAAACAGAAACTATAAGTTCAGATCTTAGCAGCCTACATAAAATCTCTCCCCAAACAACTAAAGACTAAACACTTACTTTGTAGAGTATTCCTTCCAGAATTTGCTATAGTTGTCCTTATCAATTTTCTTAATCATATCGAGCACTTTACGCACTAACTTCTTCTTAATGACTTTGATAAGTTTATGCTGCTGCAGTGTTTCACGTGACACATTCAGTGGTAGGTCGTCTGAATCAACAACGCCACGAATAAAGTTCAAGTAATTGGGCATCATGTCATTGAATTCGTCGGTGATGAAGACACGTCGAACGTACAATTTGATGTTATCGGCTTTAGTGCCGTAACGATTGAATGATTCGGATGGTTGTACTTTGGGAATGTACAATAAACTCTTGAAAGTCACCTCTCCTTCGGCAACAAAGTGTGTGTGAGTGAATGGTTCTGTGCTGTCTTTTGTAAGTGTTTTGTAGAACTCGGTGTATTCATCCTCAGTGACTTCGGCGGGCTTACGGGTCCAAATTGGTTTACTATCGTTGATCAATTGCCAGTCCCAGACAGTTTTGGACACTTTCTTTGTCTTTGGCTTGTCAGCGTCTTCGGACTCTTCTTCAACCTTAGCATCTTCTTCCGCATCTTCTACATCATCTTCCGATTTTTCAGGTTTTTCGGTGTAGGCATCTTCTTCAATTGGCACCTCTTCCTCAACAGTTTTGCTTGACCACATAAGAATTGGGAAATTAATGAATTGTGAGTATTTACGGATTAATTCCCGGACAGTGTCCTCTTCAAGAAAATCTTGTGCTTCATCCTTAAGATGAAGAGAAATGATGGAGCCACGTTTCAGGGTGTCACCACGTGGATCTTCAACAATGCTGAAACTATTAGCATCCGATTCCCAAATATATTGTTTGTCTGCATTGTTTTTAGTGGTAACAACTACACGATCAGCGACCAAGAAAGCCGAGTAGAAACCAACGCCGAATTGACCAATCATATCGTTAAGGTCTTGACCAGATTCAGATTTTGTGGGATCTTGCATTTTAGCTAAGAAATCGGCGGTTCCAGACTTGGCTATTGTACCCAAATTGTTTATGAGGTCCTGATGANCTCTTCTTCAACCTTAGCATCTTCTTCCGCATCTTCTACATCATCTTCCGCTTTTTCAGGTTTTTCGGTGGAGGCATCTTCTTCAATTGGCACCTCTTCCTCGACAGTTTTGCTTGACCACATAAGAATTGGGAAATTAATAAATTGTGAGTATTTACGGATTAATTCCCGGACAGTATCCTCTTCAAGAAAATCTTGTGCTTCATCCTTAAGATGGAGAGAAATGATGGAGCCACGTTTCAGGGTGTCACCACGTGGATCTTCAACAATGCTGAAACTATTAGCATCTGATTCCCAAATATATTGTTTGTCCGCATTGTTTTTAGTGGTAACAACTACACGATCAGCGACCAAGAAAGCAGAGTAGAAACCAACGCCGAATTGACCAATCATATCGTTAAGGTCTTGACCTGATTCAGATTTTGTGGGATCTTGCATTTTAGCTAAGAAATCGGCGGTTCCAGACTTGGCTATTGTACCCAAATTGTTTATGAGGTCCTGATGTNGTACAATTTGATGTTGTCGGCTTTAGTGCCGTAACGATTGAATGATTCGGATGGTTGTACTTTGGGAATGTACAATAAACTCTTGAAAGTCACCTCTCCTTCGGCAACAAAGTGTGTGTGAGTGAATGGTTCTGTGCTGTCTTTTGTAAGCGTTTTGTAGAACTCGGTGTATTCATCCTCAGTGACTTCGGCGGGCTTACGGGTCCAAATTGGTTTACTATCGTTGATCAATTGCCAGTCCCAGACAGTTTTGGACACTTTCTTTGTCTTTGGCTTGTCAGCGTCTTCGGACTCTTCTTCAACCTTAGCATCTTCTTCCGCATCTTCTACATCATCTTCCGATTTTTCAGGTTTTTCGGTGTAGGCATCTTCTTCAATTGGCACCTCTTCCTCAACAGTTTTGCTTGACCACATAAGAATTGGGAAATTAATGAATTGTGAGTATTTACGGATTAATTCCCGGACAGTGTCCTCTTCAAGAAAATCTTGTGCTTCATCCTTAAGATGAAGAGAAATGATGGAGCCACGTTTCAGGGTGTCACCACGTGGATCTTCAACAATGCTGAAACTATTAGCATCCGATTCCCAAATATATTGTTTGTCCGCATTGTTTTTAGTGGTAACAACTACACGATCAGCGACCAAGAAAGCCGAGTAGAAACCAACGCCGAATTGACCAATCATATCGTTAAGGTCTTGACCAGATTCAGATTTTGTGGGATCTTGCATTTTAGCTAAGAAATCGGCGGTTCCAGACTTGGCTATTGTACCCAAATTGTTTATGAGGTCCTGATGTGTCATACCAATACCCGAATCCATTATATGTAACACCTTGTTTTCCTTATCGGCCTTAATACGGATGTTCAACTCGGGGTTAGTATCCAGCTCGGCTCTGTTCGTTAATGCCAATAAGCGTATCTTGTCTATGGCATCAGAGGCATTTGAGATCAATTCACGCAAGAATATTTCCTTGTTACGGTACAATGAATTAATGATGAGTTTCATCATACGGTTCACCTCCGTTTGGAACGTGAATTTTTCAGCCTGCGAATAAAGAAAAAAATAGCCATTCGAATTCTAATTTGTTTCTCTTGGGTAGAATGTTAGAATACGATTAGAGAAACTATTGAGGACTATAGCGTTCTCTTCAAAACGGAGACTTAGTTGCCGATATCGAAAAAAAGGTTAGATATCTAATCGTATTCTAACGTTGAACTCTAATTTTTTAATTAATTAACATAGTTTCAATTCGAGAAGCTTAAACTAGGTACATTTAGGAGACATCTTAATCAGTCCTACCGAATTATGGACAATTTATTCCTTTGCTTCAATTTTGCTTATGATGTTTGAGAACCGATTAATTCATATTGAATGCGCGAGAGGGCCAGATGTTTAAAGGGGCGGAAACCACTAGTGATAGCTTCTTATGCTAACGNTTGATGTTGTCGGCTTTAGTGCCGTAACGATTGAATGATTCGGATGGTTGTACTTTGGGAATGTACAATAAACTCTTGAAAGTCACCTCTCCTTCGGCAACAAAGTGTGTGTGAGTGAATGGTTCTGTGCTGTCTTTTGTAAGTGTTTTGTAGAACTCGGTGTATTCATCCTCAGTGACTTCGGCGGGCTTACGGGTCCAAATTGGTTTGCTATCGTTGATCAATTGCCAGTCCCAGACAGTTTTGGACACTTTCTTTGTCTTTGGCTTGTCAGCGTCTTCGGACTCTTCTTCAACCTTAGCATCTTCTTCCGCATCTTCTACATCATCTTCCGCTTTTTCAGGTTTTTCGGTGGAGGCATCTTCTTCAATTGGCACCTCTTCCTCGACAGTTTTGCTTGACCACATAAGAATTGGGAAATTAATAAATTGTGAGTATTTACGGATTAATTCCCGGACAGTATCCTCTTCAAGAAAATCTTGTGCTTCATCCTTAAGATGGAGAGAAATGATGGAGCCACGTTTCAGGGTGTCACCACGTGGATCTTCAACAATGCTGAAACTATTAGCATCTGATTCCCAAATATATTGTTTGTCCGCATTGTTTTTAGTGGTAACAACTACACGATCAGCGACCAAGAAAGCAGAGTAGAAACCAACGCCGAATTGACCAATCATATCGTTAAGGTCTTGACCTGATTCAGATTTTGTGGGATCTTGCATTTTAGCTAAGAAATCGGCGGTTCCAGACTTGGCTATTGTACCCAAATTGTTTATGAGGTCCTGATGTGTCATACCAATACCCGAATCCATTATATGTAACACCTTGTTTTCCTTATCGGCCTTAATACGGATGTTCAACTCGGGGTTAGTATCCAGCTCGGCTCTGTTCGTTAATGCCAATAAGCGTATCTTGTCTATGGCATCAGAGGCATTTGAGATCAATTCACGCAAGAATATTTCCTTGTTACGGTACAATGAATTAATGATGAGTTTCATCATACGGTTCACCTCCGTTTGGAACGTGAATTTTTCAGCCTGCGAATAAAGAAAAAAAATAGCCATTCGAATTCTAATTTGTTTCTCTTGGGTAGAATGTTAGAATACGATTAGAGAAACTATTGAGGACTATAGCGTTCTCTTCAAAACGGAGACTTAGTTGCCGATATCGAAAAAAAGGTTAGATATCTAATCGTATTCTAACGTTGAACTCTAATTTTTTAATTAATTAACATAGTTTCAATTCGAGAAGCTTAAACTAGGTACATTTAGGAGACATCTTAATCAGTCCTACCGAATTATGGACAATTTATTCCTTTGCTTCAATTTTGCTTATGATGTTTGAGAACCGATTAATTCATATTGAATGCGCGGGAGGGCCAGATGTTTAAAGGGGCGGAAACCACTAGTGATAGCTTCTTATGCTAACAACGATGGGCCTTTGTGATCGTAATGACCAAGATTTAAATCTGGCTGAGGACTAGTTACACTACTATTTGGGTATTTTTAATACATAGGTACTGTTACAACATTTTTATTCTAGCATACACACCTTCTCTCGCACTTCCTTCATTTGTGCCACGCTAAGCCCATCCAATTTGATAGCCTCTTCTTCCCGCTTGAGTGCTTCGGCATCTAAATAATAGAAAAATTAAAAAATTATTACAGTACATACAAATTTATTGAAAATCTTATCAGCCGTAATCTCCACTACTGCTCAAGTGACGTGTTCAAATCGCCACGAACCATAATCCGCTTTGGGGTTGCATCTACATATCTTTGTACATATCAACACATACATACATATGTACATACATTAATAGAAAGCAGTGGACGGGAGGGAAATTCCATGTGTGTATAAAACTGTAATTTGCCTTACCTGTTCTCGAACCTTCCTTGAAAGAACCCAAATCAAGATCGATACTCTCCACATCATCTTCCACAGCTTCATCTGCAGCAATTTCACTTAGGCCTATAAACAAAGGCAATTCATATGAAAATTTAATGAGCCAACACGTACAAAAACTAACTATATGTACATATTTTACAAATGTGGCTTGCCGGCGCACAAAACTAACCTGCTAAAAGCAGCAAACCTAGCAGCAATAAGTACTTCATTTTACTTGTGGCACAATCCTCCAGGAGGTGGTACTACGAAAACTAAACGCACTTTACACCGGAGACTCAAGAATTTATTTTCAGAATTGCTTTTTATTTAAAACTTTTCACAAACACAAATTCCAACTAGACCACTCACTTTTCAACTGCAAAATAAATTGGAATGACCAGCGCTTAAAATATGCACCACCGTCTCTCTACGTAAATTTTTAGTTTGGTTGTTTTGTTATAAACAGGGTTGCTCTAAAAAGTACGTGAAGTATCTGGTTGCTTAGCTCGAATTTTTATATATATANAATTCCAACTAGACCACTCACTTTTCAACTGCAAAATAAATTGGAATGACCAGCTTAAAATATACACCACCGTCTCTCCACGTAAATTTTTAGTTTGGTTGTTTTGTTATAAACAGGGTTGCTCTAAAAAGTACGTGAAGTATCTGGTTGCTTAGCTCGAATTTTTATATATATCTATTTTCTTAAAATTCAGTAAAACTTTTATATTTTTTAAACTATTTCGATTCCGCTCAAGGTGCTAAGGTAGTAAATATGTTTAACTGATTTAAAATATATTGATTCTGAAACTATTTCCAGTAGTATCGTTTTAACACAAAACGGTGTAAAGTTACAATATTTGAATGTCTCAGCTGCACACCAACACTGTTTCGCGAAAAGAGAGCACCTACAAATGTCGGTTTTTGATTGGTCCAAATCATATAAATATTTAGCGAAGTTTAACACCAGCTCCTGTTATCGATTATTGCTAGAGCAACTAATATGAATTTGTTCATAAATTTAATGGCAAAAGCGAAATTATGGATAATTTAACCAGTTCAGCTGAAAGAGAAAACAGAATGGGCTAGGAAGTAACTATTTATACTTACTATGAGTACTAGTAAAACAAACATGGCATTTTAAACGTATTTTTTTTTTGAAAATCGATTTTATTCGTTTCTCATACCTTAATTAAACCTTTTTCTGAATTTATTGACTGCCTTTTATTTTAATTTTAGTATTTTCACACTACCCATAAGTTATTAATTACATATTAAGTATTTTTTTCTTTTCAAGTTTACCGCTTAAATATTACAATTACAGTTTGTCATTTATTATTTTATTATTGGTATTGCATTGAACAATTATTTTTATAATAGCATTTTGATTTAAGGATATCGCGTAATTGTTCATCATAAACGCATTATTTCCAAGAGTTTATCACCATCTTTGTTTGCTTATTTCTCCATGCTTTTGCTCTGCCTGTTCTACATACAGTTAAATTTCAAATTTGTCCTACTATAAAAAGCCAGCATACATCCGTGATCGCTCTTAATAAGTAAAGTAACTTGCAAATTGAATTTTTAAATAAGTTGAATTTGAATGCATACACATAGATACATATGTACATATGCACATATGTATATATGTACATAACGAAGCTTTACTTTTATAGTTATTAATACAAAATGTGTATTTTAAGCCAATACCATTTTTGTTTCAATCGTTTAAATTTGAATTATTTTATATCGACTTTTAAGCATTTGCATTCTTAAAAGTTATAGTTAAATACATACTTAAATCTAAATGCACATGCATGCATATGCATTTTACATCTATTGTAGTACGACTAAAATTCAATGATTTTCGGAGATATTGTTTATTATATCATACATTTATTAGTAAGGTTAATTATATACCTATGTATTTCCATGTGGCATGCCTTCATGCGTTCCTTCTAGATAATGCTAAAGTTTTTGTTATTCATATCACTGTGGTGGTTTTTGTTGTTGCAATTTGTATTTTGGGATTTCGAACGCAATTCATACATACTACATGCATATATGTATGTACATGAATATTATATATATATTTGCTGGCGCTAAATAGTATTTAAACTAACGCAAAAATATGTATTATAATTNGCTAAAGTTTTTGTTATTCATATCACTGTGGTGGTTTTTGTTGTTGCAATTTGTATTTTGGGATTTCGAACGCAATTCATACATACTACATGCATATATGTATGTACATGAATATTATATATATATTTGCTGGCTCAATTATTTTTAGCGCTAAATAGTATTTAAACTAACGCAAAAATATGTATTATAATAAATATAAAAATTATTTAATGTAATAAATGTTATTGTTATTATATGTACCACTAATATCATTTATCAGACATGTAATGCAAAAATGCTTATTAATTATCTATGTTATTCAAAAGCTGGCATATAATTTTCTTTTATAAGGGTAAATGCCCATTCATACATGCATTCATACTTATAAATTTGCTATACATATACATATATACAGCATACATGGCTCTGCTAAGCGTAACTACACACATACTGTTGTAAAACAAAAAAGCGTATGCAATTAAAATTTAATTAACGTTGGTTTAAAATAAAATGCGGCAGAAACGGCACTGCAGTTTCGAAAAAAAAAATTGAATTGGAAAAACGCTTCACAATTAAGAAAACAGCCAAAAGCTGCGTTCCCATGACAGTCGGGTCTACGTAGTCGTAACGACGTCATTCCAGCAGCATTTCACAAAGTCTTTGCGGAATTTGTATGTTGTTACCCCAAGAATACAGTTTTACATGAANGTATGCAATTAAAATTTAATTAACGTTGGTTTAAAATAAAATGCGGCAGAAACGGCACTGCAGTTTCGAAAAAAAAAATTGAATTGGAAAAACGCTTCACAATTAAGAAAACAGCCAAAAGCTGCGTTCCCATGACAGTCGGGTCTACGTAGTCGTAACAACGTCATTCCAGCAGCATTTCACATAAGTCTTTGCGGAATTTGTATGTTGTTACCCCAAGAATACAGTTTTACATGAGAATGCATTTAGATTTGCGTTTACAAAGATACATATGATTCGATCTAGCTTTTCTGAAGCTGGCAATAAAATAAACGCCTACAGATCGTTTCCACGGCAGTCGGGTTTACGTAACTGGAACGACCCAGTCATATATATGGCCAAGGACTATCAGCCCAGCTTGATTGATTGCTTATTCATTGTTTGCGCATTTTTTATTTTTTTTTGAGATTGCCATCTTTAATCACATACATTAGCGGATTTAAAAATTGTATTATAATACGTATTTATTAGGGTAAATACCTTATTCATCCAAAGTTTAAATTCTTATTATTTTATTGATTGAAATTGATAGCTTCAATATTTGGTAAACCCGAGATTAATGCAAAAATCTACGAAGCCGGATCTACAAACTTCTTCTGGACGATCGAAACGGGACCCCTTGTTTTGGTTGTTGATACTTCCCATGGGGTTAGAAGTTTGATGTTTATAGACAAACCAGAATTGACAGCGGATGACAGAATATCATATCAAAATAACCACTCTTAATGACCATCGCATTTGGATTAGTATTTAGTACCGGTGCAAAAGAACCGAAGGCATAACGAGTAAACTCGAACAATCAAATAGAGCCGAAACCAGCACTCGACCTGTACGGCGGTGCCTCCCAAAAGCCGGGCGGACGGTCCATCCTGATACCAAGAAGCCACTTTTGACACCTTAAATGCAGGAAAAATGTTCCCAACGGGCTACATAAACTGCGAAAACATGGACCAAAGAAGATTGAAGAAAAGTTATACTTTCGAACGGATCCAATATTAACAGTTTCGAGCTGGACAGAACGTCGTACATTTGCAGAAGAAACGGGAAACATTTCAATAAGTGTCGATACGTACCCATGTGCAGAGGGCGGAGAGTTGATTTGGTGATATGCGTTTTCCCGTTCATGATTTTGGAAATAATTTTAACTGATGCTTTCCATTTCCAGACAACCGGTCAGGTACGAGCATGATTTTTAATTTCGACCAAACTCAAATACATTGTTTGTTGGTCCAAATAATGAGACACGTATTTTTTCTTTTGGCTCGGAAAAATTTTTCGGCCGAATTAAACGCGATTTTGTTTTTCAGGCAAAAATCGATTATTCGAATTGACAGTGAGAATTTTTTTTTTAAATGCCCATAACTTTGTCAAAATTTAATAGATTCCAACAATGTTTTTACTCAAATGTCAGTAATTCTTGTCACTTCAAGATAGAATGATATAATTATTGATTTTCATTATTTAAAATTTTTTATTTAACAATAAACAAAAAGTGCATATTTTTTTATTTATCTAATTTCTCAAAAAGTGTATTTTTTTTTTCTCTCAAACTTTTTTACCGGGAAAGAGACACTTTGAACTACAATCAACCCAAATCTCTAATAGCGAAGATTTTTTTTTCTGAGTTATGATTTTTTATAGAAAATATACGTTTTTGTGGTACATACTACAATATTCTTATATTGTTTAACTAAATGGAACATATGTATGTAATATATCAGCAAAAAGTACAGCCGTGATAATTTTTTGTGTATCAAATAGATATTAGAACACACTTTCCACCATACAGTTTCGAAATACAAAATCACATTTTCCCGCTTTTTATAATCGAAACTGTATGGTGGAAAGTGTGTTCTAATATCTATTTGATACACAAAAAATGATCACGGCTGTACTTTTTGCTGATATATTACATACATATGTTCCATTTAGTTAAACAATATAAGAATATTGTAGTATGTACCAAAAAAACGTATATTTTTTATAAAAAATCATAACTCAGAAAAAAAAATCTTCGCTATTAGAGATTTGGGTTGATTGTAGTTCAAAGTGTCTCTTTCCCGGTAAAAAAAATTTGAGAGAAAAAAATACACTTTTTGAGAAATTGAGTTTTAATAAAAAATTGCACTTTTTGATTATTGTTAAATAAAAAATTTTAAATAATGAAAATCAATAATTATATCATTCTATCTTGAAGTGACAAGAATTACTGACATTTGAGTAAAAACATTGTTGGAATCTATTAAATTTTGACAAAGTTATGGGCATTTTAAAAAAACATTCTCACTGTCAATTCGAAAAGTTGATTTTTACCTGAAAAACAAAATCGCGTTTAATTCGGCCGAAAAATTTTTCCGAGGCAAAAGAAAAAATACGTGTCTCATTATTTGGACCAACAAACAATGTATTTGAGTTTGGTCGAAATTAAAAATCATGCTCGTACCTGACCGGTTGTCTGGAAATGGAAAGCATCAACTTTAATTGAAAATGTTAATAGAGAATTAAATACCAACAGCTCTCACAGGAAAACTTGTAAATTTCAATTGA